GACACCACACACACACATGCACACATGCGAGCACACACACACACTCACCTGTGCACACACACACACACTCTCTGGACTCCCTGACACCATCACACACATATATACAAGCACACGTGCACACATGCACACACACACACACACAAACACACACACACCGGCCTCTCTGATGCCACCACACACACACACACACACACTCTCTGGACTCCCTGACACCACCACACACATATACACAAGCACACGTGCACACACACACACACACACACACAAGCACACATGTACACATGCACACACACACACACACACACACTCTCCGGACTCCCTGACACCACCACACACACATGCACACACACACACTGTATTTCCTGACATACACATATGCACATGCACACACACACAAACACATTCTCACATGAACACATAAACACACACTTCTGGGTCACAACGAGCAAGTGAAGAGACGCACACTTGTGCACACACACAGGTGGCCACAATCAGGAGGCAAAACCGCACCGAGTTACATTTGCATCTGGGAGAACCTTCTGGAAGTGGCTCCTGAGGGAAATGGCCCCAGCCTCCAGGCAGATGTCCTCCTCGGTGGTGTGGTGGCGTCATTCTGTCCCTCTGCCTGGGTCACTCCCCCAGCAGCAGGCGGAGGCGAGGCCGCTCCCCCCCAGGCCCGCTACCGTCCTGTGTGCACTCTGTCACCCCTGCTTCCCTCTCCAGGCCAAAGGCCTGTGAGGAACACTGCGCCCACTCAGCACCCTCCTTACTGTTCCTCCCTGAGCTGTGGTTCCTGGGAGAAAAGACCTGCTTTTCCGGGGGTCGCCCCTGATACTGTGCCCCCCCAACTTTCTGGTCTCTCAGCCTCACACCGTGACACTGGGCGGGAGGAGTCTTTGTGAGGCAGCTGGCCGGGGCTCTGGGGCACCCCTAACCAGCCATGGCCATGGAAAATGCCCCCAGACACTGCCTTGTGTCCCCGCGTTGGGGGGGGGGCACTCCATTGAGATGTGCTTGTAGGACCTCTACCAGGTCTCAGCCTTCCACCTCAGGGAGAGGGGGCTCCTGGGCTTTCTGTCCAGACCATTGGGATGGCCTGGGGGGGGGGGGTAGGAGGGTGCTGGAGCGTCTGAGGGGAGCAGTGACTGTCAAAGCTATGTCTGTCACAGGCCGGACGGACCTGTTTAATGTGGTTAGGCTGGCGGGCTGGATCGGGTGACCGTGGTCAGCGAGGGTCAGGAGGCCAAAGCTGGGGAGGCCATGGACCCCATCACCCCCTCATGATCTTTAGACCCACCCCTTCTCACGGGTGCCTCATCCTACACCACACTGGCGTTGCAAGATAAATGGATCGATTGAATCCAGCCCCCTCCATGCTGCAGCCGGTGGACGTGGGGCCCGCAGAGAGGGCGGGACTGGGCCCCAGGCAAGTGGGGGGGGCAGCTTGAGCCACAGACACCATTGCACACGCCTGTAATGACTGCCCGTCTGCCACGGACGGAGGTGGGGGAAGGGGTGCAAGCAGAGGCTGTTTCTAGAAGGAGACACATCATTAGGCCCAAAGCCAGTCCCTGACAGCATCGCACCAGTTCCGACCCCAGCATCCAATCCCTCTCTCCCTCTTAGCCTTCCGGAACTCAGGCCCATGTCGGGGGTGGCCTCTTTGGCCCCGAGGGTCCCTGGAGGACACGGGCCCTGCCCTCTCCCCGCCTGGAGGCCCGTGGCTGGGGCACCCCACCCTCCTCTCGCTGCCCCTCAGCCTCGCCTGCTCTCACCTGTCCACGCTGCCTTCCCGCTGGAGCCCACGTCCTCCCTCCCCTCCCTGGTTTCCACCGAAAATCAATTCCATCGGAGGCCGGGGACGCGCGGGCCCAGAGGTGGGCCGCCACTTAGGGAGATAATTTTATTCCCGGCCTGGCCTCGCGCCGCCTCCCGGGCTCCGGGCGGATAATGAGGGGAGCGGTGACATACACGCTTGCCTCTGACCTAATTGATTATCCCACACACCTTGGAGCGCTTTGCATAACCAGCCCCGACAGCGAGAGCCCCTGCCTGGCCGAGTGATTGACACATTCTATTTCTAATTGAAGCTTAATCAGGACCAAGATGAAATTCCCATATCCTTCCCCTCTCTCTCCCTCTCTCTCTCTTTTCTTTCCTTTCCCCCTCCTTCTCTTCCCTGGCTTCCTGGCTCCTTTTTAAATCCTAAGGCTGGACAATAAAGTGTGGGGGCTGTTCCTAGGGCCCCTGAGAGGAGGGAGAGGAGGGAGAGGAGGGGAGGACTCGGGGAGGAGGCTCTGGGAGGAGGATGGCGAAATGCAAGTGCAGCAAAAGGGAGCCGCCTCCTCTCCCGTCTCAGCTCAATGCCCACGGGGACCTTTTATTCTTTCGATTACCCCGTCTCTTTGGGGTCAACCCGAGGCCAGGAGAGGGGCCCTCGTGCTCTCTCCTCCCACAGAGAACATGCACACACGGGACCTGCTCTCGGGGTCCCCCCGCTCTCCCCTGGCACCCGTGCCTCCTGTCCTTGCAGCGGGCAGGGCGGGTCTCCGCGGAGGACCCTTACCCCTGGGATGGGACAGGCTGCAGAGCACGGGGAGCCCAGGGTTTTCACTAGAGAGAGCAGGACAGGCACTCGGGACCTCTGGGGGCTTTGCCTGGCTCTCCCCCCCTCCACCCCACCCCCAGCTCCCTCTGCACAGAGGCAGGCTTCCCCCTCGGGGGCCTTCGGAGGGGGCGCTGCCTGGCTTGGCCATCCATCACCCCCTCTCCCTGCTGCTGCACCCCGGCCCGGGCAGTGCCCCATTCCCAGGTTCTGAGGTGCCGCTGTGCAGACACCTCCCGTTTTTGGCGGACAGGAAGGGCTGGGCAGAGTGCTGCGGGGAGCCTGAGGGGTGGGGTCTGAGATCCTGGAGTAATAATTGCGAGATGAGAGTCATTTACGTTCACCTACCGCAGGCCAGCCCCCGACATGCGCCCAGGAGCACCCTTCCAGGCGGCTGTTCCCTTCAGAGGGGCGGACACAGGACACAGAGGAGGAGGGGGGCCGGCCAGGGTGCTAGGCCTGTGCCCCAGAAGCTTGGGAGGCACCAGCTCACAAGAAGGGCTTCCTCCAGGGGGGGCAGGGTGACCTGCAGCCCGGGTTCAAGGCCCAGGCAGTGGGCGCTGGCTCCGGGTCCAGGGGTGGGGTGCCCAAGATCAAAGCTGAACCCCCGTTGCCAGGGAAGGCCCCACACTTTAGGGGAGAGAAGGTGCAGGAAGCGTGGGGAGGAGGCAGAGCCTGGGGTTCTGGAGGCCGGCCCTGTCTCTGCTCGCCCGACCTCTGTAACCTACAAGGGCCTGCAGGGAGCACCATACGCCCCCCGCCTGCGTGGGGGTCCTGAGGGGGGCGCTGGCCGCTGTACCCCACTTAGACCAGTCCTTGCCGGGCAGCCTCTGCTCCTGCCCAACCTCCAAGGCGGCTCTGGGGGTGCAAGCTCTGCCCAAACGCCCTGGGGACCCGCGGGGTTCTCACATGCCTCACTATTGGGGGCCAACACTAGCCTCTGGCAGCTTAACATGTGGGGAGGGAGAGGCCAACCAGGTCCCCCCACTTTGTACCCCAAGGCATCATCATCTCATCATCATCATCATCATCGCTCTCCCAGAATTCCCTAAGCTTCGAGTCGGAGTTGGGCAAGGCTGGGGCCTGAAAGAGAAGAGGGTGCGGCCCGGAGGCGCTGGCCGGTGGAGAGGCCACGGTGACCGGCCAGCGCCCAGCGGCCTCTTTGTCCTGTAGAGGGAGCTCTAGCCCCAAATTTCCCGGCTCCCTCCCCGGGCCCGCCCGCCCGCCCCTCTCCGGCTGCCAGGATCTGGGCTGGATCCCTGCTTGGGTCCAAACCACCACCTTGGCCTGACCTCCGAAGCCGCCCTGGCAGGGCACCTGGGGAAACCCATGGGGGTGCCAAGATGCGCAGATGCCACCAGGCCCCCAACTTTCAATTCGGGCTGGACCCAGTCTCCAGGAGGAAAGGCTGAGCTGCCCTAGGCTCCTGGCTCCACCCTCCCCTCCTCCTCCTCCCTCCTCTCCAACAACCCCACACTCCTGCTTCTATAAGGAGTCTGGGGGTGCCCTGTGGTTGGAAGGGGGCTTGACGCTGGGCTTGCACCCCCCCCTTCTGTAAGAATGAATCAACCTCAACTGTGCCTATCTAAGAATGGGGGTGCAGGAAGGGTGAGCACCTCCCAACCTACCCCCCCCCCCGTGCCCACACCCTCCTCTAAGTGGGCTGCCTCTGCAGAGGACGCCCCAAGACCCCGCGGTGGGGTCCCAGGACCGGTGGGTTGGGCCCCGTTTCCCCTTGCCCACTTGTCTCCTGGGCCTTTCTCTCTGGAGGCCCCCCCTTCCCCCTCCCCCCGGTACTTCTCGGGGGACCCTCCAGCCTCACCGCCTCTGTGCCTTTGCCTCTGCCTCCACCTTGCTCTCCTCTGGTCTCGGGGTCCAGACTCCCCGCTCTGGGTCTTCTCTGCCGATTCTTTGAACAGGAGGGTGGGGTGGGGGGCAAAACAGAACAGACGGCAGGCAGAGCCCTCTGGGGGCAGGCAGACAGGCGGTTATAGTCAAAGTGGCAACAGCTCATTTATTTAGCCAAAAATAGATAACTTTCTCGTACAATTTGGTTCACACATATGTACATTCCTCCAGTATATATACAAACAAGCCAGACACGTCGATCCTCACCGAAGCGCCACTCCCCGCAGTCCACCTGGCAAACCCGGTTCCCAAATTCCTCCGGCTAACGTGGGGGGGACAGAAGGGACTTGGGGAGACTCTGCCCGGGGGGGGGGGGGGGGGGACTTGTACTTATTTTTACTTCTTTTTGTTTGTTTGTTCCGTTTTCTTTTTTTCTTTTTAAAGGTATTCATACACAGACATGCTTACGAGTCATAACTATACAGAGCGATTACTTTTTTTTTTTTTTACAATTATTACAACGATTAAAAAATTAAAATCAAAAGAACTAAGAGGAGGAGAGGGCCGACAAGACCAGCGCGGCATCCAGGTGGTTCTGGGGCCTGGAAGAGAGAGGCAGTGGTAGCCAAGGGCTGGGGAGAACCAGGGGCACCCCTGCTGCCTAGGGCTGGGAGACCCCACAGGGGCTGGGGCGGGGAGCAGGAGGAGGCTTTGCCATGTAAAATGATGTCAGCGGTGGATGTGGGTCTTCCCATGTAGCTGTGAGCTGGGTAGGAGGCTGGGGACTGAGGTCCGGGGCTGGAAGGAAGGAGGGGACCCCCTGGGGCCTGCTGGCCAGGCAGGGTGCTTGGACTGGGGTAGGGGTATGGGGCCAGCTCTGGGCCCTCGGGGACAAGGAGGGTGGGGTTCCTCCCCTTTGAAAAGCCTTTCCCAGCTGCGTCATCCCCCACCCCCTTCCCAGGGCAAAAGCCTGGCTTCTCATCATGAATTTCCTTTTCTGGCCCTTACCGCCCCCTCCCCACCTCAGGGTCTCTTACCGCCTGGGCACGGGCTGGAAAGCTGTCTTGAGTAACTTTTTCTCCACTTCCAAGGCACTACAGCGATCTAAGGGCAGCGGGGAGACAAAAGGGGGCCTTCAGAGCTCAGAGGCCAGCGCCCCGGGGAGGGCCCCGCGCTCCGGGGATCCTGCCTGGCCCCTCCCGCCGGGCGCACCCCCTGGCCCGCGCCCCGCGCTCACCTGCTCCGCCCTCGGGCTCGGCGGGCCGGGCGAAGGCGGCGGCGGCGGCCGGGTGGCCCGCGGCCCCGGGCAGCCCCAGCAGGTGCGGCGGGGCCGAGCCGAGCAGGGAGAGCGGGTGCGGGCGGGCGGCGGGCGGCGCGCCCGGGAACGGCCGGTGGGTCCAGGCGGGGAACTTGCCCAGCGGCGCCGCCGACACCAGTCTGTGCGCCACGGCGGCGGCGGCCGGGGAGAGCTGCAGGGCGGCGGGCGCCACGGCGGCTCCGGGCGGAGAGCCTCCCGCGCCCGGGGGCGGCGAGCGGCGCGGGGTGTCCGGGCTCGTGGCCGTCTCGGCCAGGGACCAGATCTTGGGCTTCTGCAGGCCGGAGGCGGAGGCAGAGGCGGGCGTAGGGGCGCAGGGGTCCAGGCCCGCGGGGGGCGAGGGCGGGGACGGCGGCGGAGCCACCGGGGCCAGACTCGGGGCCAGACGCAGGGCCGGCAGCGGGCGCTCCTCCGGGCCCTCGGAGCTGTCGTCCGAGTCGCTGTTCTTGGAGTCCGAACCGGGCCCCAGGCCCAGGGCGTCGCCGTCCCTGCGCGCAGCGGCCCCCGCCAGGCCCAGCTCAGGCCCCGCGGCCGCGCCGTCCACGTTCTCCAAATCGATCTCCTCGTCCTCCTCGCCGCCGCCGAGCTCTTCCTCCTCGTCCTCCTCCAGCTCGCGGCGTTTGCCCTCTTCCTCCTCGTCCTCCTCCTCCTCGTCCTCCTCGCGCTCGCTGCCGCAGGCGGTGCCCTCCTCCTCCTCCTCCCCGTCGGCGCGGCTGCGGGGCGCCCAGGTCATCTTGTTCTCCTTCTTGAGGCGCCGGCGCGCGTTGGCGAACCAGGTGGACACCTGGGTGAGCGTCATCTTGGTGACGATGGCCAGCATGATCTTCTCGCCCTTGGTGGGGTAGGGGTTCTTGCGGTGCTCCTGCAGCCAGGCCTTGAGCGTGCTCGTGCTCTCGCGGGTGGCGTTCTTGGGGCGGGACGGGTCCCCGAACTGGGGGTGGTACTGGCCGTAGGGGTAGAAGGCGGGGTGCGCGTGCGAGAACGCGGCTGTCTGCACCCCGGGGCTGTCCTTCAGCTCATACTGGGCGCCCTGAGCGCCCATGGAGAAAAGAAAGGGGGGGGGGACATGGAGAGAAGGAAGGGGGGACATGGAGAGAAGGAAGAGGGGACATGGAGAGAAGGAAGGAAGGGACATGGAGAGAAGGAAGGGGGGGGGGAGACAGGCGCGCGGATGAGCCCTGGCCCGGGCCGCCTGACACCCCCCCCCCGCCCCGCGTCCTGGCCTCCTGGGCCCCCGGGCTCGTCTCCTGGGCGCGCGCTAACCGCGTCCGGTGCCCCTCTCCAACCCGCGCCGTCACCCACCGCACCCCACCCGCACCCCCAGGCCACCGGGGCGCTTACCAGCTGCGGGAAGAGGGGCAGCTCGGCGGCGTAGGGCAGGAACGCGCCGTAGCCCTGGGCGGCGGCTGCAGCGGCGGCGGCGTAGGGCGCCCCGTACACGGAGGAGAGCACGCTGGCCAGGGACCCCGGGGCGCCCAGCTCCGCGGCGCCGGCTGCCGGGCCGCCGCGGGCCCCCGCGCTGCTGCCGCCGCCTCCCCCGCCGCCGCCCGCGGCCCCCGGGCGCTCGGGCGGGTAGAGGGGGCGGATGTACTGGTAGCCGAGCTGCGGGAAGGACATGGTGGCCCGCGGCGCGCGGCCCGGACGGGGAGGGGGCCCGGCCGCCGGGGCCGCCCTGCTCAGCGCCGCCCGCGGGCTCCGGCGCGCATCGGGGGGAACCGGGCCGGGCTCGGGCTCCGCGGCGGCCACCGGAGGGGGGGGCGGGGGGTGAGGCTGCTCCGCGGGGCGGCGGCGGCCGGGAGCCGGGTCAGGTCCGGGCGGATCGGCGGAGCTCCCCGGGGCGCCGGGCCCGGATGGACATGTCCGCGGGCCGCGAGCCCCTCCGCTGCTCTGCGCGCCGCGCCGCCGCCTCCTCTCCGCGGCCCGAGCCGCCGCCGCCCGCCGCTCCGGGTCCTCGCCGCCGCCTCTCGCCGCTCAGTGTCGCGCCCGGCTTCCTCCGCCGCCTCTAGTCCTCACCCCCTCCCCGCCCTTCCTCTCCCTTCCCTCCCCTCCCCTCCCCTCCCCGCGCTCCTCTCCCCCCGGAGCGCTTCCGCTCCTCCGGGCGCGTTACCTCTCCCGGGCGCTAGGAAACTCCTTTCTTTCCCGGGCTCCTGATCCTCCCTTTTCTGCCCCCTTTTCCTTTCTTCTCTCCCCCTCGCTCTCTCTGGTCTGTCTCTCCGCTCGCTCCGCGCTGCCCCACCCCTCCCCGGCCCCGAGCCCCGGGCGAAGGCGGCCCAAAGTTGCGGACACTCGGGGTGCCGTCCCGGGCAGGGCGGCGGCGGCGGCGGCGGCGGCGGCTGGGGGAAGAGGTGTGCGTCTCTGTCCGTGTGTCCGTCCCCGCCCTCTCCCTCCCTCCCTCCCTCGCCCTTTCCCAAATCTCGGGTCTGACGTCGCGCCCTCTTATTCGGCTTTCCCCGGCGTCGCCTTCCCGGGTCGCCAATCGCCGGGGAGCCTGGCCGGCGAGGCCGCCCGCCCCGCGGGGAGCGCGCGCAGGGCGGGGCGGGGCGGGACCCCGCGCCCCGGTGCCTCCCGTCCCCTCTGCGCCCCGGGGCCCTGGCGGAGGCGCGGGGACCGGGGATGGGGGGTGAACCCCGGGTCAGCTCGCCCCTCCCCTCCTCCCGCCGCTCCGCACCTCTCCGCAGGCCCCGGCGCCAAGCCTGGGTCCGGACCAGATCTGGGTCCGAGGCCTCCTTTGGAGCACACACCCCTTTTCAGCTCGGCCTCTCTCCGCAGCCCGCGGAGGAGAGGGTGTGCGCACTGTGCCTTCCGAGGCCACCTCAGCACCCTAGGGGGCGAGGCTGCCCCCACCCAAGAGGACCGAACCCTGAGATTAGCCTCCTTAAGGGGTCCGGGTGCGAATTCCTTATCAGAATGGAGGGCTGGGCTGGGGGCGGGGTGGGGGTGGTAGGCGGGGCGGTGGAGGGCTGAAGGGGGGACGCCCTGGGGGTCCCCGAGCGCCCAGACTGGGAAGGGGAGCCAGCCTGCGCCCTAAAATGGGCGTGGGAATGGGGGAGGAGCCGGGCGGCGGGGCTCCGGGAACTTTCCAGAGGCTCGGAGAAGTTGGGACACGGGCATTTTCTTCCGCGCCCCGTGCCAGCCCGTGTCCTTTCTGCGCGGGTCCCCCCGCCGTGCCGGGGTGGGGATGCAAGGCCAGACTAGGGGTTTGACGGAAGCGTGAATCCTGACCCGAAGCGGCAGCCCTCGCCCCACGGCGCCCACCTTCACGGACGGGGCGCGTGGCCGCCCGGAGCGGGATCGGAACCCCGGCCTTGCGGCGGCGGCTCCGGGCACAAGGCTGGCGGCCTCCGAGGGGCTCGGGGCGCACAGGCCTGGCCCTCGGGGGGACCCCCGGGGATGGCATAGGTGCGGCGGCCACTCTGTCGCGGAGACTCCAGCGCTGCTTGGAGGCGGACACTGGCAGTTGCGCGCGGATGGAGAGAGGACTCCAACCCCAATTCCCATAGAAACCCAGGTGGGGTCTGAGGGTCTTGGCTCAGGCTGTGTGGGGTCTCCACAGCTCTAGGGGAGCCCACCGAGGGAATGAATTCCCGGCGGGGGGGGGCTCAGTGTTCACCCCACCCTCCCTCCAGTCCTCTTCCCACCAGCCTTTGCACAGGGAGGCCACCCCAGGAGGTGGGAACGCCTAGGACATGGGGAGGGGGGGTGAGGACCAGGCGCAGGGTTCCACTGGGGAAACTGACCTGTGGCCTTCTCAGGCGGGGTCCAGCTGCTCCCCTCCCCTCCGCCCTCCCCCCATCTGATGTTTCTGGGCGCCCTCTGGGGCCTCAGCTGGGGTCACCCCCGAAGAAGGCGGTATTTGGGGGGAGCTCTGGTTTGGAACTATTTCCCCGGCGCCTGATTTCGTTTCCAGTTAAAACTCTCCTCTGGGAAGTGGCCTAGCGGGGTCCCGAGCTCACCGCCCCAGGGAGAACCAGGGTGTTCAAAGTGGAGGGCAGCATGGGCTTCCTTCATGCCCTAGAGTGTTTCTCGGGGGCTCAGACCCAAGCCTGAGACCCTGGAGTGTGCCCTGATCAGGAGGGAGGGAGACTGGAGCTGCCAGGGAAGTGCCCGGATGGATGAAATGCCCGAAATTGAACTCAGCAGCCCTGCCAGGAGGGGGAGGAGGAGGAGGAGGAGGAGGAGGAGGAGGAGGAGGAGGAGGAGGAGGAAATAGTGAATCCTGGAGAGGTTTCTAAGGCTCCGCTGGCCTGCAGGAGGTGGGAAAGAAGCCCAGGAGGGGATGAGGCTGTGCTCAGGGAACCAGCCACGAGGGGCAGGGGCCGCCATGGCCTGGAGGGTGAGCCTTCAGACCCAGACCCAGATGGGGACCCAAGACCTTGGATGGATGAGCTCCCTCCAGGCAGCCCGGGTCCCAAGAAGCAGCAGCCTTTCCACTGCCCTCGCCTTCAGCTCGGATCATCCCAGCCCCACGACAGGACTCAGCGCCCCGGGCAGCGGAGCCCGGGCCAGGCGCCGGCCGGCTCCCCAACTCCACTGGACCCGGGAGCCTGGCTCAAGACTCAACTCGCGGCGACGCGGAGGACAAGCAAACCTTTCCCAGGGCTTTTTAAAATCCACGACATGGGGGGTCACAGGGACACGCTCGCCCAGGGCAGAGAAGCAGGTGCCCTGGGAAGCGGGTTTGTAAGAGGCTGGCGCGAGCAAATGCGCTGCTCGCAAACCCCTCTCCATCACCTCGCCTTCTTCCAAGGTTCCCAGCGCAGGAAGCACCAGAGGCTTGCTGCAGAGGCTCTCTAGGCGCGTCCCGGGGTGGGGAGAGAGCACCCAGGAGGTGTCCAGAGCACAGGCTGGGCGCAGCTAGCGCAGGCGGGATGCGCATGCCACGGAACCCCGCACGGAAAATCGAGCCCCTTGGGGCTGCGCCAGGCCCCGGCACAGGGGAGCCGCCGCGAGTCACCAGGTCCACCGTCTGCCCCCGCTTCCCCCAGCCGCGCGGGCTGCAGTCTCAGATGGATCTCTCCGAGGAGGAGGCCGCCTTCCATCCTCGCCTCCCAGGCCTGAGAGCCGCGGGCTGCGGGGCGGCCCGGAGCTCCCTGCGCTTCCCGCGGAGGCCGGCGCGGCTCCGAGCTCGCTCTCACTGCTCCCTCCCACCCCCCTCCCCGCGCTCGGGTTACAGGTTAATGAAATGCTCGTTTTCCTCAGTCATTTGTTTTGTTTTCCTGCAAAGTTCTGATAAGTAGCTAACCAACGAAGCTTGTAATTACAATCTTACAGAAACCGGGCCGATCTGTATATAAATCTCACCATCCAATTACAAGATGTAATAATTTTGCACTCAAGCTGGTAATGAGGTCTAATACTCGTGCATGCGATAATCCCCTCTGGATGCCGGCTTGATCAGATGTTGGCTTTGTAATTAGACGGGCAGAAAATCATTATTTCATGTTCAAATAGAAAATGAGGTTGGTGGGAAGTTAATTTCTCTCCGCTCTGTGAAGCGTAGACAAGAATTTAATGATTTAATTACAGTTGTAAGCCCTTTCCATGAGACTTAAATTGAGCTGAGAATATTTTTTTTCCTCCTCTCTCTTAGCTCACTCTCTCCCCCCCTCTCTTTTCCACGTTCTCTCTCTCTCTCTCTCTCTCTCTCTCTCTCTCTCTCTCTCTCTCTCTCTCTCTCTCCCCTCTCTGTGATTAGCAGCTGCCTGGCCATCCAAGTGCGTGGCGTGGTGTCCCCACAGGGAGGGATTTGCATCTGGCCAGGAATCTGGACCCCGAGATCCCAGGAGGCCCGGCAGGCGCCTGCAGAGCAGCTTAAGAACAGGCTGCCTCTGGCATTGGACTTCCAGCCATTCCCTGGGTCCCTAGAGCCACTGAGAAACTTTGCTTACTTGGCTGCCTGCAAGGGAGGGAAAAAGACCAGGCAAGAATGGCCCCGGTAGGGGCAGCCTCCGAGAGACGTGAGGGGTGGGTTCCCAGCCAGGCCTCAGCACCCTGGCCGCCCTGAGGGCTGTGTGCCCTGCTACCCACTCCTGTGCCTCCTCCATGGGTGCCCCACAGGGTCTCCCAGGCAGCCCGAATGGCCGGAATTGAAACACAGGGCCCTCCCTCCCCAGGAGTGATTTCATTTATGTATCTTACCTCTGAGGGGTCACCCTTTCCCACCTGAGCCTTTGTCCTCTCACCCTCCTTTGTTTTTCTCTGAGGTCCGCCTGTCTCCCCCACTCCCTACCTATCCCATTGGGGGGGGCGTTCATTTTCCTCTTCTTCCCTCCACTCCCTCCTTCGTTGTTTTATTTCCGCCCCTCTCTGGACCGTTTCTCAGGTATATTTTCCCTCCTCTAGTTTGCTCCCCGTCCCTCTTCCCTTATTTTATATCTTCCCTGTTCCCTCTCCCTGACTCTGGGCTTGTGTCCCCCTCCCCAGCCTCATCTGTGGTCCCCTCTTTCCTCCCTCCCTTATTCGAATCCTCTCCTATTTCCTCTGCCATGACTCTGTCTGTCTCTCAGGTTTTCTTCCTTTTCAGGCATGTATTTTCTCTCTTCTCCTCTTCCTGTCCCAGGTCTGCCCCCTCCCTCCCTGGATCTGGCTTCCCCTCCCAGCACCCCCTCCTCATCCAT